CTTACAAAATGCGGGAAAAAATATAAATGACATTTTGGACACACGCTTATATATATCAGTTTGAGGTAAAAGATGTTTCTTAATAATACATTTCGGGTTGTAATCTGACTACTTTTTTCTGTAATACTAAGGGATTTTGAAATAGAAACAATATTTTTAGCGCATTTTCTCATTTATGAAAAAAAGGTGTCATTGTACTCGTCATGTCCGTCTTTCAGTCTGTTTGTCCGTCTGTCTGTCTGTCAGTCCGTCTGTGACTTCACGTTTTCGTCGACGAGAAAATGCGCTCTCTGTCACTCACTGTAGTGAGTACTGAGTTATATTTTTTGTTAGTGATACATAGACCATGTGGTGAGAACTCTGTTTTCTGTTTGCTACTTTGATTTTCTATTCACTCTGGCACTTAAAACTTTAATCAGAGACAACATGTGTAGAATTAGTAAAAAATTTTTTTTTTGTTTTTCAAATTACAAATATCAAGCGTGATTTTCAGGGCGGGAAGGTGGCTTCTAATGAAAATCAATAGCTTTCAAATTTTATTTATGAAAAAATATAGGAATGAACATATGCCGGCGTTAATGTATACATATGTACATTTGTAGCTTAAACATAACATAATAATAACATGTAACTCAATGTTTAACGAATTAATCATCTTCTCACTACGCATATCTAGTAGACATGCATCAATTCTACAGTAAGGATATGTAGGGAAAGTATCATCAAAAGAACCATGTAATTTCGATGCTGATACTCTCACTAATTAATTACAGTTATTATTTAATTCCATATTACCGGTTATTAGTCATCTAAAAAAAAATTGCAACTGCGAAATTTACCTTATTGATTCGCGTTCACGGTAAAACGAAGCATGCGTAATATGTACTAAATTTAAGATAATTAAATAAAACCGTAAATTGTATTCAGATGTAGGATAAAAATTTAGGCACATAACCACGTAATTACATAACACACAATACATAAACTAACTTGAACTCGGCACATGCGAATCTCGTTTCTGTTCACATTGGATCTCAGAATTTCTTTTCTACGCGCCAAAATATCTTGGCTATATATACGCTTTTAATTCGTTAGCTTCGTCTCCCACGTGTTCCGAATATTTGTTAACAAACAAAACGGTTATTTATAACAAAGTCTTCGTTCTATAGTCCTAGCAACTTATCCAGTAATAATAACATTGAGATTCCTTATGAGTTCGAATGTGGGCAAAATTGTTTAATTATCAAAGAATTGGTTATTATTAAAACACATGATTAACTATGGCCTTAATTTTAAAACCGCCAAGTCTTCAGTGTTTTGGTCCAAAGCGTTTTTAATTCAACACAAAAATAAAGAAATAAAATAAAATCGGCAGGAGCAGCCAGCGGGTTGCGAAAAATGCTTTTACTGACGCATGATAGCTCACCGTATTCGTTTGTTAAAAACATAACATTTCTGGAACGTTCATCAAGTAATTCTAGCACTTTTGATGAGACAATCACAATAAATTTTCTTTGAGTTCTCCTTAAAAAAACAAAAAGGAAACCAAGAATTGAAAGCCAATTTAGACGTGAGAACTTGATGTTCTTATAGGTGCCGGACACCTAAAATAAGGTCTTCGGCGTCTGTTTTTTGACGATTTTGAGGCCAGTAAGCCTCGGATTAGAAAAAAACTAGCGCCAACCCTTAATTTTCCAAGAAAAATCCCGACAAAGCTACTAAATTACATTTTCAGTGAACATTCTGCTCATATTTGTGAAGTGTCTAAGATATGTTGAGAAAAGTTTCGCAGTACAAAGCACCTAAGAATTCAATAAATATTGGCCAGTTGCACGTTTTGAATTGACATTGAGTAAAAAAAATTAATTCAAAATATTGCTTATAAATACTCTTTTAAATATTTACGAGACAATATTTTCCCCTAAAATGACAATTTCATTGAAATTTCATAACAACAACTCCAACAGGATAGAAGCAGGAACTATAAAATTAAGACAATAATGAAGAAATACAGAAATTCTGCTTTATTTTAAACTTTACGTCACTTATATATAATTGATTACACCTAGTATATATTTTCTTTATTATTTCCGCAATAAATTATTTGATAGACTTTTATTTACACACATTAAAGATAAAACGACACTCAACACTTTTCTAATCTACATTTTAATCTTCCTGCCAATTTTTGAAGTTTAGATACAACAACATCGATCAATCGTTATCGACTTCGATCTTTTTCCGTTGAAAATTTTAGGCTCACTGAAGAATTTTCTTATTTTTAAGACAATTATTAAAAAGAGCAAGTATTTTTGCTGGAACATTTTTGATATAACCTCCTGAACATTTTCCTCCATATATACGTCAGCGGTAATTTATTTTTCAGATAATCTCCATGCTTCGTTAAATGGTGAATTCAAATTTGAACGTGTTTATAAATCATTTATGAATCTCCTCAATTATTTCATTTACACGAGTATGACTCATCGCATAAATAATGTTGCTACTAAACGGTATGACATTCAATCTTCTCTAATTAGTAAGAACTGTAATTAAGGTAGGAAATTACAATAATATTATTCATCCATACTTTTAAATCTTATTAATAGCGTCAACATTAGCATTCCTGATGCCGTATATAACATTAAAATGTTTGCACGCTATAATTAATTACATTTTTTGACAAAGTAATGCATGGTACAAATAGCAAATCTAATTTTTGTCATATATTGACTATGTCTTTCGGATTGCAAACGAAATACTGTATTATAATGGGAACACTTATTCGGCGATTACGTCCATGAGAGAAGATATATAAATTTTCTAATAATTTTCCGCTTATTTTCGACGTCACATGCATTAGTTACTGGGGTCAAAGGAATGTGTATTGTTTATAATTAATAAATCAAGGCGAGTGCAGGTCACTGACCGCTAATGCAACAAGATGCATCATGCAGTGTGGTGACATTAATCAATGGTCAGCCTAAGGTAGTTTTAAGGCCGTCACTAAATCACCATGCGTGCCAATGTTCCCCAAGGCAATTGGGGGTCAGCTAAATTTACTGATGGTTGTAAAGCGTTTAACTGAGAAGGTAAATCACATTGGCATTGGTTATTATGTTACGTATGGTTTTCGCTCGGTAGTTTGGTTAAAATGTAGAGGGTATTTTTTTCAATTTTTAACAAATTTGATTAGGGATAAGAGATGTTAATAAATAGGGCTTAAGGTTTTATGAGGCATAGAAAAGATGTTAATAAATAAAGTTTAAGGTTTTTATGAAGGATAAGAGAAGATGTTAATATATAAGTTTGAGATTTTTATGAGGGACATGAGATGATGTTAATTAATAAAGTGATCAGTACATGAAACGAACAAGTAATGTGTTAAATACTGTGTAATATCAGTTTTATTTTTTATAATTTATTGTTTATATGTCGGAAGTCTAACATATATTTTACTTTGATTTTGTCGAAAAGCCAGAAAACTGCATTTGCAGCTCAAAATTTTGATTCGGGCAAGCCGAGAATCGACTCAGTTTCAATCATTGCAGCATAAATTAGGATTTGATTATTCTTAAAATACAACAGCTGTGCATGAAACTATCTCAAATATATCTAGTGACAAGACAATGAACAATATAATGCGGCTATTGTAGGTCGAATATTCAAACAATATTGTTGTGGGTTCAAATATTATTTTGACTCATGCCACCTTCAATGTAATTATGAACTTCATGTGAAATTCAGACAGTTATTAAATTGAATATTATTGTAGTTTCTTCGTATGAATACTTGACAGTAGACAGTTCAAGTCATTTGCAGGCGCGTCACGAGTCGTAAAGTCAGGCGTAACACAGTCCGTTAAATGAAGCGCGTCACGAGTCGTAAAGTCAGGCGTAACACAGTCCGTTAAATGATCGTTAAATGGAGCGCGTCACGAGTCGTAAAGTCAGGCGTAACACAGTCCGTTAAATGAAGCGCGTCAGGAGTCGTAAAATCAGGCGTAACACCGTCCGTTAAATGAAGCGCGTAATGTGTCGTAAAGTCAGGCGTATCACCGCCCGTTAAATGAAGCGCGTCACGAGTCACACCGTAACGCCAGGTCCCATCAAACTACGCCACAATCACGCAAGAATATGAATGTTAATGACATAATAACGCAATATATTTCCTCCATCGAAGCAGCAGGAGCAGCGGGCTGGAGAGAACACCTGTTTGCTTGCAGCGCAGAATTTTTAAATAAGTCATCTAAAAAGCAAAATTACAAAATTAGTAATAATTAGAAGGAATTCCAAAGTACGTAAGAATTTTGTAAGGCATAAACTGCAAGGCGAATGCAGTGCTGGTGTTGGTGTTATAGCAGGAAAAATGTTGCCCTGTTGGCAGGGTGGTTGTGGCGGGCATGTAAGCGGAATCATTAATAATAAAACGAGATAGTGATAGCTGAAGCCAAACACATCCAAACATTACAATAAACTTTGAGGACTGTAGGCAAGTGCATGAGTGACAAATAAAATTGGGGAATGAACACCGCAGCACAAGCAAAATTAAAAATGCCATTGTCTTCATGACTTTTTTAGACTCTATTCGCGCAAGATTTGCTATGCAATTTTTGTAATGGCACTAACATGAAGCTTATGATAGCTATCAGGAGCCGTTTAATGAGCCCTAAGGATCGATCAAAAATCACAAAAGGATCCCGCGGGAGCCATGCTGTAAGAATCTGACCATGGGGAGCGAGGTGTCTGTAATCAAGCGGCAAGGCGACTTTGTTAGGGTGTGAGAAATTGTATTTTAGAAATAATCACTAATATTATGTGAATAAATTAATTATTTAACGGGGGGAAAGGATGAAATTGTGCACATGGAACAACGGAGGGTCAAACGGCTATATATTTGAAAAAAGGGCTTTAGAGATAGTCATTCTGAGAAATAAGGTCTGATAAGATTATTTATCTATATTATTAATCATTTTTTAAGGGGTTTGGAAACAGCAATTAATTAAAAATTGATCCGTGACGTTATATGACAAAAAATGACACAAATGAGGCATGCCTTGAGATGGTATATAATGATGAAATTAAATTCAGTTCCATTACTTCATAAATATTAGTGAAAAGAATTGAATAATGGTATTATGACAAACGATGTTGGGATAGAGGCACCTCACCAAGAGTCTCTTATACATCGAATGCTTGTGGAATTTGGAACTATACATTACATTGAGAATTTCTTACACTGGCTTTCATATCGAGATGAAACAGTTTCACGTGATGAAATTGAACTTTCATACTAAAGAAGGGATTTTCTTTCTCGTATTTCGTCTCAGTTCCGTTCAAGAATTTTTTATTTACACTATTCCATCTCGGTTATAAACTATTTGCTATAAGGTACCATTGAGAACATTTCCTAAGGAGCATATACAGGGCGGGGATATTTGATACTTAAGGGGTTAGTGCACTGTACTTCAATGTAATCTTCAAATTTATGCCTAGTCCACTCGGGAAAATGCAGCTTGATCTGCGGATTCCATTCGATTGCAAACCATCATTCAACGTAAGACTCGGACTTTACATATTTTTTTTATACGAGAAGAGATTGTTTCAATATAAAGTATAGTTCCCACGTTGGCATCGAAATATTTACAAAGCATTCAGAAGCACCGATGCCAAAGCACTGATACCGAACATTATAGATCTTGTTATATAAAACGATCAATTTGCAGATAATTCACCGAGACTCAGTAATTTCAATTTTAAATTTGACCTCGGAAGCAATCTCATCACTTCACTGAGAATTGTTCCCATCGGCAAACAAAGCTAAATACACATACTTACACAAGGAGCATAGAATGAGTGCTAGTTCTAGCTGTAGCTGGCTACGGCTCGCGGAGTCTAGCGCAAGATGGCCGTCACTAAGACTGATATTAGGGTAAATGATGCTATTGTTGTGCGCAGTGCGCAGCAAGCGCCGCTTGGGGGACTAGATGCTGTCGCGCTGTTATTCTCGTGCTGGATCGCGGCTGGCTTCTCGCCTGTGAATAATTGAGTACATTCAATGTTTTTCTAAGTATTTTTGTTTGGTGTAAAAAATGTATGGAAAGTGTAACTAAGATAGGTTTTATCATAATATTCAGAATCATAATTCTTATGAAACTTTTACTCATCAACTTCCATGTTCACACTCTGAACCAATGAAAGATCTTTCTAAAAAGTTAAGGATAAGATTATAAGATTTAGCACGATAACTTCAAAATGTCTCCATCGAAAACAGTTTCAATAGAAATATGGGTAATTTATTTAGAGTTTTCTTTGTTTACGAAATCTCTAAGAATTTTAGGTTTCAGAAGGCTAATCATACAAGTACTTAAATTTGATTTAAATAATGGTGGTGCGGTGCAACTAGGAAAGAGTGGATGAGAACAAGTGGTGGCACAGAGTGGCCAGAAAGAAGAAGGCGAAATTGAAATGACATTAGGAAATGAAAAATTGGGTTGGGCATGATTGGGTCGGTTGTAGGTTTGTGCGGTTTGATTAGAGTAGGGATATAAATAATGTTGAAATGAGTAGGGATATAAATAAATTAGTCAAATGATAAAATTTCTGCTGAGATTCTCACTAACCTTCGAGCACATGCACGGTGACGCTCTGGTTGCCAGAGTTGGAAGGGTCGCACCTGTAGGTGCCAGAGTGGCGGGTGCCTGCGACCTTCACCAGCAGGCGCGAGGTGCTCACTGCACCCTTCTCAATGACGACCTGCACGCCGCTGTCACTGTGGTCGTAACTCACCAACTGCGCATGTTTTCCACAGGAAACAATTCATTATAATTTTTAATATCAAAGGCAACAAATTATAATTGTTAATAAACATATATAACATTGGAAGTTTATTTAAAATATTGAAAACTTTTGCTGTTCAACTTGACGAACTTCTGTCCTCAAAACAGAAGATAGCGTCTTCTGCAATTCGTGGGTTGTCGATTAGAGAAAAAAGCAGAGATATTCCTGCATAAAACTAATGGTTTAAATGTTAACGTGGGTCCAAATAAAACTCTCCACACCAGCGAGACTGGAGCATGAGGATTAGCCTCCGGGACTTTGGCGAAGAGGTCGACTTGTCTACCGGGGTTGAGGACTACTGAATCTCCAGCGTGGCCTGGGACTGCTACGTCCAAAATACACTAAGGATGCTGAGGACACGACACTTGGTAGCCCCAGGGGGATTAACTAGGCAGTCGGGACTCAACCCCTCTTGTTTTGTTACCGCTTCAACCCCCACCAATCGCTTTACTGTCAGTTGAGCTCCTCTTGAGGATGGCAGAGAACACTTGAGGACCTCTGTCATGCGACACTTAATTGAGGTGTATTTTTTTAGTGAACCAGCAGTTATAGCGGTTTCAGCGTTTAGTATGCTGTAGGCCTGTCGCCGATTCTTAACATCGCAGATTATTCACAGCATTTGCAGTCTCTAACCCGCAACTCACTGCAACAATTCTGCTGTACTTAACCGCCCGGCCTCCTCGCCGATTCTGACCAGAAACTGACGCACAGAGCTTGGATCGAACCCGCACCTCTCTGCGCCAATCTTGGTACTCTGAACTTTAACCACTAGGCCACCCTGCCCAGTTTCATATCGACGCAGCTTCATAACAGCGAATAATATGTTCATGATGGCGAAGAACTTGCCCATTTAAGAAGTCATGCTGACAAACTGTTAATAAATTGTCAGTAATCGAATAAGATTAACATGACGTTCGATTCTTTCTCCTCGAGCGCAATGGATTTCAGAGCTCGATTTAATCTTTCTCTTAAGTATTTATCGTTAAAAACTCGTACGTGAATAACTCGGCAATGTCGGCACGCTACCTGCACTATTCATACTATACGGTTTCCTTTCCTGTTAATAACGCCATTCGGTTGACTTGATCACTATTACATATAGGTTTGCAATTTAAACAATATTTTTTCCCTCGGTAGTAAAGTAAACAGCATTGAAATTGTTGAAATTATCTAACGTTATCATCGAGCTGAAGAGGATTATAAAAAGTACACAAATACAAATTCAGTAATTTTAGATATGAAGGAAAATCGTTATAAATTTAAGTAAAGCATTTTAGATCTTGCTCGCGATGTATAACCAGTTCCATACGTTTAAATCTTTGCATGATATTATTCGTAATTTTACCCATAATAGAGAATTTGATGGTACCTGAATTAACAATAACAGATGAGCTTTTTTACTTTGTTTTCTCGGTGCCGCGATGTGCGAAGACAGGATATATTAAACTTGTATTTTATCTTGTCATATAGTCCAATATTTGTTCCAAAACCTTTCAAACTTATTATTTACATAATTATTATTATAAATTATTAATACTTCAGTGAGGAACGCATGCAATGCCTGACTTTGTCTGCTTGGCGTAGAATTTGTCTGCTTGGCGTAGTCTGCTTGGCGTATTAATTATTTTATATTTCCAGCATTAATTTAACATGTGGTACCGTTATTGGATGGTTTTATTGCATATTTGCAGCATTGCTTCACCAAAGTACGAAAATTAAATTCTTTTGGATAACTTGACTGAAGACATGCGTTGTCTAACAGCATCGTCATGTTACCATTAGATGAAGGCGATGTATCTTATTTAATTGTAGCTTAAATGTAATTACTAGAATTCAATGATCTTTTATTCCCGCAATGACTCTGTGTTTGTGGTACCAGAAGATAAAGGCTGGTATTATATTAGTAGCATTTATAATTATCAAACTAATTATGAAGATTCTCTAATATTTATCCCCCTCACTAACCCTATCGTTGTCATAACAGAAGATTAAGCCAGGTATTATATATATAGTATAAATTAAACTAATTATGAGGATTAGGCATTATTTAACGCATGCACTCACCCTAACGTTGTGATACCAGAAGATGAAGCCTGGCATTATATAAGTAGCACTAATTAAACTAATTATGAAGACTAGGTAATATTTAACCCTTGCACTGACCCTGTCGTTGTGGTACCAGAAGATGAAGGCAGGTATCATATTAGTAGCATTAATAATATTGGTAGCAATAATAATTATTAAACTAATTATGAAGACTAGGTAATATTTAACCCTTGCACTGACCCTGTCGTTGTGGTACCAGAAGATGAAGGCAGGAGGGTCGGGACTGTACTTGACTGAGCACGTCAGCACCAGACGACTGCCGCTGTTGATGTACACGTCAGGGCCGCCTAGGATGCTCGTCTCCGGCTCTGCGGTGACGATGAACTTATTATTTAAAGTTTTGTCTTCAGTTAAGCAAATTGGTGTTACATACATTGTGAGCGCCTAAATAAGTCATTATAATAATAACATTGGGAAAATAAAAATAGTAGTTTAAGAGAATTTTCCTGCCTATCAGATATGAAATGAATTTTAAAAACAACAAAAAATTTCATCTTATTCTTATTTCCAATTGATGACACAATTCAAGATCAACAGTATTCCTAGCATTCATTAAAAAAATAAAAAAAAATATATAAACAGAAACTTGGAATTCAAAAGATGAACAAAAGCACAAAAAATATAACTCAGTACTCACTGCAGTGAGTGGCCCAGAGCGCATTTTCTCGTCGACGAAAACGTGAAGTCACGGACGGACAGACAGACGGTCGAACAGACGGACATGGCGAACACAATAGTGAATTTTTTCATAAATAAGAAAATGCGCTAAAACTGTAAAATTTGCTTTCTTGCACAAACTCACCCACGACTGTGAGGTAGACCATGTGGCTGACAGGAGGAGTCGTCGAGATCTGGCACTCGTACCAGCCAGCGTCGCGCTTCTGCAAGTAGTGGATCTTGAGGAGCCAGTCCTCTGACTCGTCAGCGTGACGTGCAGTGAAGCGCTGGTCTGACGTGTACGAGAACCTGCCCACTGTCAGCAGGTGGATGTCCCGGTGGCGAACCCATGACACCTGGTGGATGTATATTGTATTGTATCTTAAATAAATATATATTCATGACGAGTAAGAAAGAGATTGGTCTAGGTTTGCAGCTCACCTGGTGGGTGTATATTGTTTATTGTATTGTATTTTGAATAAATATATATTCATAACGAGTGAGACAGAGATTGGTCTAGGTTGGCAGCGCACCTGGTGCGTGGTTATTGTATTGTATCTTAAATAAATATATATTCATAACGAGTGAGTAAGAGATTGGTCTAGGTTTGCAGCTCACCTGGAGAGTGTATATTGTATTGTATCTTGAATAAATATATATTCACAGTGAGTGAGAAATAGAGCGATTTCAGTTTGTAGATGCATTGAACTCATCAACATCATGAATGTGCATGAGTTTGATACAGGTTTGTAGATGCATTTAACTTACCACCATCATGAATGTGCATGCGTTTGATATAGGTTTGTAGCTGCATTGAACGCAGAAAATTAATTCGAGAAAGAAATGAATGTGTGTCGTAAAATTTCTGTTTCAGTTTTAACATGTACTAAGTATTGCGCACCATAGTTTATGTCAGTACCTTACTTGGCACAATAAGTATTGGCTATAATGGGGACTGGCTCTTTCATTGTGCTTTTAAGACCTAGAACTACTGTATTCCTTGTATGCAAGTTTTAAAGTAGTTACTTTATTTGTAAGACATTTCACATATTAAAATATCCCTAATGATGACGTTAGTTATGTTTATATATTGGTGTTATTCTGTTTCTGGATGTTGCGATCTTGTTGAATAATGCTCTCTATGAGTCACCTTGGGTTTCGCTTATTACATTGTGTGACCGGAGAGGCTTAACTAACACGAACACGTAAAAAACTTCACTGTATGAGAGATGTGACGCGTTTAGAAAGTTCGTACCATGAGCGCACCGAAAATCCTAGCAATAAAAAACACAAACGACTCGCACTTCCGAAAGTCAACAATAAATAAAGAGTGCACCAAGATTCTTCAGAATTTCGAGTCATTTGTGCAGGAAAATAGAAGAACTTTCGAGGTACATATCCACGATGGCCATTTTAGAATAGCTGATAATATGTATCAGCCAATATGATTCGTACAATAATGTATTTCGTTGCAAGATTCGTTAGGGATATTTTTAATCCCTTTGAAACAGATTATTTATTGGAATTAATGAATAGATCAGAATAATATTTATTTTAACGAAATGTACATTTTGAAAATGGAAATTTTTAATTTTTTCTATTCATATACATTTATTTCAACTGCAAGTGCATTTTTCCAGCGGGTTGGGAAGTGGACGGGTAATTTTAAACGGGACCGTTGATGAGTAAAGCGTCACTGATATTAATTAAACTAAAACTGACCACCAGGTAGAAATAATCTTAATGGGAATGAGTGCGTGTATAACATGAGAATAATTGTTAATTAGAGCGCTGTTCCTGCAAGACTACCTCAGACACTACAAGTGATTGTCATCGTTACACTGCAAGGTGTCAAGACCAGCTTGTTGACATTGAAAAGTGACAGACATTTTACGTTCACTGCAATGTCACGCGTTCCTTTATCTGCAGTTATTTTTTACGACTGATAAATAAAAATGGAAAGAGGATTATTTCTCTGACTACTTCCTCTGCCAAGAGATGATCAAAATGATCAAAAATATAGAAAATTTAACTCAGTACTCACTGCAGTGAGTGACAGAAAGCGCATTTTCTCGTCGACGAAAATGTGAAGTCACGGACGGATAGGCAGAAAGACGGACAGACGGACGGACGGACATAACGAGCACAATAGGGCATTTTTTCCATAAATGAGAAAATGCGCTAAAAAGTGAAATTTCATGACTGCAGTGTTCAGTTCACATGAAGCTGTAAATGATAAAGTTTAGTCCTCAGTCTTCCTCGTAAACCTAAAGTGTTGCGGGTCTCTGGTCAGTTTACGTCAAAGAGTCAATTAGGCTGTGTCTTATCGTAACTACCTGCCATTTACGACTAAGAGTCACGACGGCAAGTTCCGATGTTTTTATTCGGCCTTGTGAGGACACTGTAGCTCATAACTCCAACATTTATTCATTACAATAAATATGGGTGATTTTATTTCATTTTTCATCGGAACAACAAATATTTATTCAGTTAGAGCACCGACAGCTGTTTTTTATTACAAAAATTTAAAAGATTTGGGTCTGAAATATCAACATCGGTCTCGCTTTATTGAACTTTCGGTTTGAAATAAATTGTTTTAATCATTTGAGGGAGCAGCTGAGGAATAACTTTTAACTTATCATTGTGTGAATAAATAATTACAATTTTTATTGAGCGGGGATGAACGTGTTGAGCAAGTATTTTAGAGAACTAACATACATTTGCGTCGACTGTTTATTTTAAACTTTTATTTCATTTAATAACTTTTTCGTTAATTCATTACAACTTTTCGCACACGATTTGTCGGCAAAAACGATTTGTTGGAATACTTTACTACAACCCGCGCCCTTTTTGTAATATAAGTTCCAGAGGTGGGCAGTAGCGCGCTACATGTGGCGGGCGCTACTAGCGGCCGCTACATTTTCAGTAGCGGGAGCGTGGCGCTACATTTAAGGCCATTTAGCGGTAGCGGTAGCGCCCGCTACATATTTAAGCAGCGATACGAGGTTTGGCCGCTACAGCGCTACCGCTACATTTATAGATGAAGCCTTTACATTTTACTTAATAGTATTAAATATTATTTAAAAACCAGCATGATACATACATAATATAAATTACATAATAAAACTGTACGAAAGATTTCGGTGTAATGTTGTCAACCTCAGCCTGTTACTAATGTCAACATGTTAGTTGTTACTAGTTAAGTTGTTACCAGTTACCACTTACAGGTATTTTTTCATGTTTCACTTTGTTTACAGTTATTCTTACACAGTTATTTTTATGTTTTACCTTCCCTACATGGATGTCTACTTTAATCTACTAATCTCATAAATAATCCACATATATATACAAATAAAAGACTGATTTTATATATTATGTGGATAATTTTTGTGATTGGTAGATTAAAGTAAACATCCATGTAGGGAAGGTAAAACATAAAAACAATTGTAATTTTTATTTACTGTATCTAACCCGTACTAGTTCGGTTAGGTTAATTGCAATAAAGTTGCAATGATATATTTTGAAAATGTTTTATTGTCATTAAATGTTTATGAGTAAATCCCAATAGCAGAACAATAAATATTTAGAGGTTTACAATAATTTTGGCCATTGTAGCGGTTAATGTAACGGCGCTACATTTTACTGTAGCGGTAGCGGTAGCGGTAGCGCCCGCTACATCTAGGGCATGTAGCGTTAGCGGTAGCGCCGCTACATTTCAAAGTAGTGCTGCTCAGCTCTGAAAATAACTCGTATTTATCTCAGTAGAATAAGTTCAAGAAACAAGATGTGAAACATTAAAGAAACAGATTTTTAAAATTACAGCTCCCATCACAATTTTTTTCTGATTACCGACAGTGAAAGTTCGGCAAAAAGAGACGACGCAGGTTCGGGCTGACTAACCCAATTCCTTTGTAGAAAAAAATTAATGAGGAATCTTGTTAGGAAGTTTTGTGGCCCAGTGAAAATATAAGAAAAAATGTGGCCCTAACAACATAGAAGAAAAATGGGGCCAGGCCAACATAGAAGAAAAATGTGGTCCAGCCAACATAGAATAAAAAATGTTTCCCAGCCAATATAGAAGAAAAAATGGGCCCAGCCAATATAAAATGAAAAATTTTCCCAGCCAATATAGAAGAAAAAATTGACCAAGTCAACCTATGTAGACGAAAAAATGTGGCCCAGGCAACATAGAAGAAACTGAACGAGATCTACTGATTGAGTATTTGGTTCCCATTTAAAATTTGATATTCAAAATCAATACAATTTTATTACAATTTATTTTTACAATTTATTTTTATTAATACAATTTATTTTTATTTATTAATAATATTATCTCTGATCGCTGATCGTAGCCATGCTGACTAATTTGAAGATTTATTTGGTTAGCATTACAATTTTTCACTATTTTTATTCGGAATTTTGAGGCTCTGAAATTAATTAGTTCCTGAATCCGATTATTTAGAGGCAGTTTTTTTAGGTTCAACTAATACATATAATACACAGTGACCTCGGGCAAAATGATTTTCGGGTTATCAAAAACGTCATGAATTTTTTTCATTTGGCTGACCAACTCAAAAAAATTACAGCAAATTATAATTATTTTAATAAAAACGGATGCCAGAGAGCGGTACTTAGACCGAAATGACGGGTAATAATCACTGTGGAGCCTTTATCATCAAATTACCCCTCTACTTATGAAAACAAGCACAAATAAAGTGTATCGCATGGTGCTAACGAGACATCAAAATGAAAAGCATCATAAACGCTATATAGGAGAAGGTGGAGCATCAAGCGAATTAAGCTGCTAGGCATTTTATTGGATCATGAGAAGTCATTAGTTCGTAGGAACTGTAATCTGGAGCAACCAAAATTACAGGATACTTTGCAGCAAAAGCTCATAATTACGAAGACATGAAAGTGAACGAGTTCCTTAGCATTTGGTGAGATTAGGGGCTCTAATATTACGTTTAATATAGCATTAAGCTTTGCTTACTGCCCCTGCTGCTAGCACCAGTTCTGAGAACTGGCAGAGAGAACTGGCAGAGAGAACAGGAAGAGAGAACTGGCAGAGAGAACTGGCAGAGAGAACTGGCAGAGAGAACTGGCAGAGAGAACTGGCAGAGAGAGAACTGGCAGAGAGAACTGGCAGAGTAAGAGAACTGGCAGAGAGAACTGGCAGAGAGCACTGGCAGAGAGAACTGGCAGAGCAAGCACGGTGTGTACTGTAATTGTAATCAAACCTGCTCTCTGACTCAGGCTCAATGCCATAATGCTATTCCATATAAGTTTGATATGAAAAATTCTGAGTTGAAACAATGGGTTTCAGCTGCTAAGTGATTTCGTCACAGAGAGGGCGTTATCAGTACGTCAAAATTAAACGATAAGAACGTTAAATTGGCAACGATTTGAATTTAACCACAGTTTAACATGATCATTATATAATATTAATGTTAAATCAAATCTGAATTCCGATTTAACATTCAGTCAGAGTTCGTGGCCCAGTTATGTACCCAGACTAAAGATCCCCTCGTTTGAAGAGGGCCTTTCCCCTCATTTTTATACGGACTCGCGAATTCGAAACCCTCTTCTGATTTTAATTCCAACGAAGTCGTTCTCGCGAAGTAAATATCTTCGTTAAATTCGTTAATGAGATGCCATTGGGCGCGCATATAAGATTAAAGAAGCTGTAAGGACCTTTGAAAATGTCATTAAATTTCACGTTAAAATTGTTTGAACTTAATCATTAACGTTAAAAAATTTGTAATCAAATGTATTTTGAAGCTTCTGACGTATTTTTCATGTAAAATTTATCGTTATAAACTAAATGCACTAAATATTGATTCAAAATCATGGCGATAAATTAAAACTTAGTGACTTGCTTAATTAAAGCTAATTTCAAATCAAGTTACATATTATTTCAAATAAAATTTCGAGGAGGCATCACATGAGGTTTGTGAGTAGAACGCTTACATTTTATAGAGTCAAGAAAGTCAATTATTTATTGAAGTCTTAAGCTTCGAACCTTGAGCTTTAAATTACTTTACAGCCGACACGATTCTTATCATAAACTAAAACTCATCAAAATGCACCTGTTTTCAAACCCGACAAGTTTTGAAAACTTTTCTGAATCCTGGCATTTTTTCGCTCATTTTTCTAATCTTCCTAGACGGTCTGGGAGAGGAAAGTTTTGAAGTAATCCGCCGTGTAGGAGAACTTATAAAAAACTGAATAAAGATCATTTTTCTTGATCTTCCTTGACGATATGCCGGTGGAAAGTTTTGGAGTAATCCGCCGTGTAGGAGAACTTATAAAAAACTGAATAAAGATCATTTTTCCTGATCTTCCTTGACGATATGCCTTTGGAAAACTTTGGAGTAATCCGCTGTGTAGGAGAACTTATCAAAAAAGTAAATAAAATGAAAAAACATAGCTAATCACTCACGGTTTTATTTCCGATGTTGCGGACTCTACAGTTTAGCACAGCAGTTTTGCCGAGAAGTCCAGTGACGTTGGCGCTGTGATCGAGGTCGAATATGGGCATGTCGGGGTCGTAGATGTAGCTGTGGGCCAGGCTCTGGGTGTTCACAAGCTCCGACTTGGAGTACTGCCCCCTGACGACCGTGAAGGGCGCCTTAGACGCCTTTGACCCCTCTTGGATCCTGCCGCTGCTGAAGGTGGGGTCGTGGGGCATGGAGGTGGGTTGACTGCGGACGCTACGCCCCGCTTGGTAGAACTGACCACGCGCGCTGCACACGATGCTTAGCCACGGGCCTGGTGGAAATACAGACATTGTTGATTAAATAACGTACAATTAACTTCATAATGCGGGAGATAAACAAGATATTTCATACAGGCATTTTTGGTTGAATAACTTATTGAACAACTAACTTCATAATGCGGCAAATAAACAAGATATTTGGTGTTAGAACTTAACACATGGATGTTCTTCTGATCATAATTTTGCAGGAAATATCAAAATAACCGAGTTTATGACATAAAAAGTGGAAAGAATGATTTGTCAGATTTCACAACGGATCGAACTATTTTACTTAAAAATGAATGGAGTTTCAAAAAATGAACTCAAAATAAACGTGTCGCATTAAATGCATTCACATAAAAAGAATTGTATGCGTGGTTCGCAGTCTACAGATTATACAATGAAAAAGTTGAGCTAGTTTTTTTTTTGTGGCGCGAATGCAATATTTGCATACATTGTCAGTCCAATAATTTAACCAATGAAAATTTTCACCGTGACTTATTACGTTCCATTATCATTATCATACGGCACCCGCGTGTAAGTTGATAATAGCCAGCGGCAATTACCCGTATTTGCGGCTTTTATTGAGCCTTATGAACGTAATTACATGATATTGTTGGTCAATTACGAATGGATTTCGCTTGTTTTTTACAGTTACAAGTAGAACGTGAGGGAATTTATTGTATCTACACACGCATATTCGAGACTTGGCCTGACAAACAAATGCATTTATATTGTGTAAACTTTCAAGAAGTACTTAGACACATAATCGAAATATATCTATGAATAAGAAATAAGCCAATTAATACGAAAAAACTAAGAAATTTGTAGTATTATTTGCTTTATAGTGAAATGCTTTATCAGAATTTCATGTATGCACTGAGATTTTAAATTATTGCATAATATGTCTATCGAGTAAATAAATGCAGATGATAAATAAATGTCCATTAGGCATCATTATAAATACACGAGCATGCTTCAGAAGATTTTCGATGCTGAAACTTAGCTGCCGTGCTGAAATTACATAACAATATGAGCTCAGTTCTGAACGGGATTCCTAGAATGTATTAAAGAAAACTTTATGAATCGAATTCTTGTTAATTAACGTAAGAAGCACCTCATGTAACCGTGTATATTATAATCACATCTCAGAACTCATTTACAGCGCTAGAGAGGGAGGAGGAAGCTGGGACGATTGCGCTCATTACGGCTAATTGGGGGTGACGTCACTGAGCCTCACTCGTCCCCTGGTGCTAATTGAGCCTCACTCGTCCCCTGGTGCTCACTGAGCCTCACTCGTCCCCTGGTGCTCACTGAGCCTCACTCGTTAAGTTGGCCTCGCTCAACACGAAATTGCGTGGGCAGAACAAATCTTAAGTTTCTCTTATATTCATAAGAACACGAATTGGAGTACGCTAATCTATTTGAGTATTGAGCAAAAATAATGGGCACTACGTTTCAGGCGGTGAATGTCAATAACATCAAAAATCATCAATAAATTTTCATATTGATGCTTAATTGAAACCTGCGGTCATGCTTTTCCAATCAAGAATTACGATTTTCTTTCAACAGAAGTTGACAAAATTTTGCCTTTGGCTTGACAATACGTTGATCTAGCACCAACATATTCACAGTCTAAATGAATCAGAATGACTCGTCTTTATTTTAGCATTGGATGCACAATTGTTAATAATTAAATATGTTACTATCATATAAATCTACAGATTTTTCACGGCATAATTATTTCACTTAAGGTGCCCATTTTTGTCCTCTGAATCACGCGTTGCAAAAATCTCAGCATACTGCAGTTAATCTATATTGAGAATACGTTATTAAAACAATATATCTTCACGATTATTGAATAAAAAATTTTTCTTTGGGCAAATTTAGTGTCCCGACGATATATACACGAGGACCAAAAACCAATTATGAATGGTTGAAATTCGGGAATTCAATTAACACCGTTTGAGTTTCGTTAATGGTGTTCAGCATTATACTGATTTTCATTAATGTATACTGAATCCATGTACAACTTTATTCAGGGGAACATCGTTGTAGATAAGGTTTTGTTCTACATCAATATTTTCAAATGACGGTCTTCGCTAAAATTTTGAAAACCAATACATTACTATATAACTTCATTATCCAATTCAGTTGGCAAGTTCCCATAAGAACTAAAAACGGAAACTAAAATTATTGTACACTATTTTTCCCAGGAAAGGGGCAACATTTTACATGAAAAGTTTCTCAGTTATTTTTGCCCACAAATTTCTGAACCACTATACATTCATGACGTCTCAATTCACACAGAGGGCCTAATTTCAGGGTAGACATAAGCATATATTATCGTGCAAAAATAAGAAAATGAATCGTTCGATTGGCGACCGTTTGGCAAAGTCGATGCCGAGGCCAGGTTGTTCACACAAACCCTGCATGCATATTACCTTATTAAAGCTAAATGAGCGACGGTTCGCAGTCTTCACAGGCGCAATAAGGAACTTTCCGTGTTTTGGCACAGCTTTACGTTACGTTATCACGTAACTTCTTGGCGGAAATTTCGTCGAACGTTTATTCTTTTGTGGAGACGATAAATTTTATTTAAACCATAAGGAAGAAATGGCTGTCATTTATTCCTAAGATATTTGGATTGTGGTTGTTATAGAGGTATTTTTATGTGAAAATAAGTAAACCATTCATCTACCCTTTCAGTTGCCATGTGTATTTTTGCTGATCTCTTTGTACTAATGGCATGATTGCAAAAATACATATTTTACTTTAAACGTGTACAGAAACTATTACTTCGGCTAATTGGTAAAGACGTTACATAACTTTATTTATGAAATAAAATGCAATATTCATGTATGATCTATCAATTTATGAGGTAGAATTATTAAGATGGATTTGATAAAAGGTTTTTGAAACAAGTATATTATATATGTGAATGATTCTGAGGAAGCGATTTTACAATTACTTCAAGATTAACATCAATGAATCATCAGCCTAAAATTAATAGTTTCAAATAGAAAGTTCGAAATGAATGAATAAAATGTTTGAAAAAATCAGTTAAACGGTATTATCGGCGTTCCAGTGACCGGCCGGCTCGTAAAGAAAAACGCCGTGTGGCCGTTTTTATACCAATTTAACACTAGAAGCCAATACATTGTCTGAAAAAAAAAACGCGAATCGGTTTATTTTCACTGGCCAGCCGGTCACTAGAACGCCGGTGAAACCGTTTTTTCATGGCTTTTTTTCGAACAGTTTACTTAAAATTAGACTTGAATCCATTATAATTTTGGGCCAATAAATTTCCAAACGTGAGAAATAAAATCTTCTTGACTTTAGTTGAATTACATTAAGCACACGTGAACGTGAATTCCGTCAAGCCTGCTGGCGATTACATTATCATTTGTACCGCTCGCTAATGGCAACATTAAAGGCAGTCAAACTGCCGTTCTTACAGACATTATCGTGTGCGTGATACCGAAACCTGATCATTGCCTCGGAGGTTAATTTGCCCACAATGACACCAATTTTACATAAATATAACTGAACATGGGTTATATGAAGGCATGAAATTAAAAACGGGTTTCCTTGATAATTTGCCTACAAAATAATGACAGCAGGCGTGTGAAGCGATGGAGGAGGTTCTAGTAGGCAATGTGAGCTTGTATTTTCTTCAGTAAAAAGTCATCTCTTGAAATAGACCAAAATTAATAGGTTTTGGTTGCTTGATTGCTCGAATAAGAGAATAAAAAACAGTGGAGTGTGGTACTTGAATGAAATGAATGAGAAATAATTAGGATAAATGCTATTGATATTAACCAGATTTGGGCATATTCGGAAAAATTTGGAGCATCAAATAGTACTGGAGGTCTAGTGGCTCTAAACTACTTTGTACAAAACGTACATTTGGTACGAACTTTTTGAGATTGATTGAGGATTCACTATATTGAAAGATTTACCAAACACATTTAGCCTTTATACATGGAAAGGTTATCAGCGTAAGTTCTTAAAAAATGCAATCGCTCCCCTGATCGCCGTTCATTTTATATTGTTTTTGAGACCTTTTCATTATAAAATTTCGATGTCTCCGTTAAATTCGTCCATTTCAGTTGGTCGAAAATTATAACGATGGCGACGATTATCCAGACCAGAACTTAAATTTTTCGCCAGTGAATCACTAACCGCGGTACTCATCAGAATTACTCCCACGTGGATTTTACTGCGCGGTCTAGAATTCGTCAGTCAAATCTTTCATCGTTGATATCTGCCAATCAACTGAAGATGAATGTCACGCATGATTTTTTCAGGTGAAAGGTCGAGAACGACAAGGGAATTAAATCATCTGGCTTGATTGATATTCTCATTTGTTAAGCTTTTTCTACTGCCAGCTCTCAAATTGCTTCCGTGAAGTCAAATGACTTCGTAGAGGTTGGGACGGCATTTGATGTTGGCATCTATGCAAGCCCGAAATGTGAATAATCGAGTCCCGGTTTGGTTAATGTTAGTGATTGATAACGTATGGATTTTGAGCCAGATTCGAAACATTCTTGAGTAAATATTAGGTCGATCATGACATAAGGCAATTCTCTGATAAAATTAACCAAAGTCTCTGAAATCATCGAAGTTCTAGCAAGTGTTTGATCTCGCGCACAAAAAGTTGATTTCAAAACCGAAGCAGCAGCGGGAAAAATAGTTTTAAACTGATTCAAAATCAAAAATTTGTACAATATTTCCGAGCGGAAACAATTTTTTTACTTAATTTTGAGTGCGATAATTCTGAGGTTTTAAGTTGTCGTGAAAATAATGATGAATCGACATTGATGACAGAGAATACTGCTCGATTATCCCCATGCATCACATCACAGAGGCGCTGCATGCGGTGTGCTGCTGTACGTGATTTAATGGTGAACGAATTACGATCCTCACTGATACTTGTGGGAGGAAATATTTGTTTTATGTTCGACCATTTCTTGTAT